TTCCCGTTGTGAGTAGAGGACCTTCTTGGGGCTGGGGCAGCCCTGTGGCCCAGTCCCCTTCCTGTGCTCCACCCTGTCCCCCAGCCTCTCACTCCCGGACTGTGAGCCCGAGCCCTGGGTGTGGAGCGAGGTCTTCCCGGTCCTGCCAGGGCCACATTGGAAGCTGGGATCGGCTCTGCACTGGACCCGGTGCGAGGTCCCAGGCTCGAGAAAACCTTTCAGGTCTCTGCGCTATCCCCAGAGCCCCCACGCCGCTCCTGCTGCCCCGCCTGGGTTCCTCACTTGCTTTTTTAAAAATTAAAAATATGGAGGAGGGTTACCCCTAGCCAGCCGGAGCCCCACGCTGCACTCATTCTCTCCCCCACCCCACCGGTGCCCTCTGGAAAGAGCGATCCATCCCCCTCACCCACTTCCCGGGTCCCGCAGCGGCTAGTGGGAGGAACTGTCCCGAGAAGCATGCAGGCAGGAGCCCAGTGGCTCTGTACTCCACCTCGGGGGCGTGGAACTGAGCTGTCCAGCAGGTTTGCGTGCCCAAAAGCGACCAGGGACTCAGGGGCAGCCTGGGGCTAGAGAGTCAGGGGTTCAAGTTCCCCTCTTCCTTCAGACCCCCACACGCTGGCGGGCAGAAGCTGGCCTGTCTCACAGGGTCCCGTGCCCAGGGCTGCGGGAAAGAGAACCCCGTTGCAGCGAGAGCAACGGAGTCCCACCCAGCTGGCGCACACAGTCAGAAAGGTGGAGGAAGGGCTCAGATCTGGCGAAAGGGGCCGACTGAGAGTCAGTCCCCGTGCCTGGCCTGGAGTCTCCCACTCTCACTGTGCGGCTCCTTCCGCAGCCCCCTTTGAGGCTGGAGGGAGGGCTCTGCTGGAAACCATATGCCTAGGGGGAAAGGGGGTAGGATCACCCACTCTTGAGCACCTCCCGGAGCCCCTTGGCAGACCACCCCCACCAAGAGGCCTCCAGACAGACACCTGAGTTCCTGGCACCGAAAGAGGTGATTACAGCTGCCCCCCACCCACTCCCACCCTATCCTCCCCTCCTCTACCCCCTGTGTTTGTTAAACAGAAATCGTGCCTCCTGCAGGGGGGACAATGGGGGGACTGGGCTCGGGGCTTGGGAAAGCACCTGCATATCTTTCTGCTTAGACTTTTACAAAATTTAGTATAGAAAACACTCTTACTTGAGTAATTTTTAAAAATGTATCTTGAGAAAGTCAGAGAGAAGAAAGGCAGGAGTGGGAAGCAGGAGTTAGGGGCCCCTCAAGCAAAGAAAGTCCTTCTTGGGGGGGTGGGGCTGAAGAGGAGGCTGCCACTGAAGAGTTTGCCCCTCTAGAGGCCAGGATAGGAGGGACCAATCCGAGGGATGGGCGCTCTCCACTCCTCCTGGGCCCCAAGTCTGTTCCTGCTGGGTCACATCCCTCAGGCGCGCCCTCCTTTCCCCCAGCCCAAACACCTTGTTGCCATCCCTCTACACAGCTCAGACACCTCCCCTGCAGCCCCTATCACCCAAATCACCCAAGTTCCAACCTGGTTTCCTGTCATCCTTCCTCTCCAATAGCCCAGCCTCCATCCCTCTGTTAGGTTCTAAACCCTGCACAATGCCACCATTGGTCAACCAATTAGGCAGCTGATGGCCCTTCTCCCCTTAGGCCAGGAACATCTGAGGTTGGCCACATAGACAAATGCAACTGCTAATTGCTCAAGTGCACACTGAACATACACTAGGCCCTGACCCATGCACACACTAATGTTAATTAGCTTGTACATTTGTGTAAGAGCCATGGAGGCTGCCGACATGACTGTCACTTAGACCTGGCATACCCATGGACAGACCTCAGACAGACCAAAACACAGCTCACAGCTCTCTAGCCAGAAAAGAAAAGCCAAAGCCTGCAGTTACAGTCTGTCTCAGACTGTGGGGGCATCTAAACAATTCCACATGTCTTGGGGGTGAGGGTGGGGGCTGTCTCCCAGCCTTTCTTTTTCTGAAGCAAAGGAAGGGAAATGGAAGCCTAGCTCTTCCCAACATGACAGAGAAAAACAAAACAAAGCAAAACAGAAAAATAGACTTGACGCCTGTTCTCCCTAGAAAGGGTTAGAGGCCGAGTTGCCTCTAGTCCTGCCTGGGGTGATACCCAGAGCACGAAGGCCTCGCTGTCTCCCACAGTCTCAGCCTTGCTCTCTTTGGCCTCTCTAATCCCTATGGCTTTCCCAAGCCAGCGCAGGACAGCCCCTCCGACTCCCTGCCTCATCCTTCCTGACTCCATTCTTGACCGGATTCTGGAGGGGGCTGCGATCTGGGTTCCAGAGGGTGGCTGTGGTTTGGTAATCTCCGGGAGTACCTACTGGCGCCAGGCCCCCCCACCCCAACATGTGCTCCCTCAAAGCCAACCTCCTCCTCTCCCTCTGCCTCTCCAGCCAGCATTGTCCCCCTTGAATGCCTGGGTGACTTCTCTTTTCTAAACGCCATTGATTGGCTGGTGTTGAGAGGGCACCCAACAAAGCAGAAAGGCAACAGTCTCTGCATGAGCAATTTGGAGACACTGATTGCATCCTTTGAGGTGTGGGAGCCTTCTCACCTTCCTTGTCCCCCACCCCCCCAACTGACACTCACTGCCCTCTGAGTTTCCCTTAGCATCCCCCCCACCCCACTCCCCTACCCCCGCCGCTTATCTGGTTTATTTATTTATTAAATACTTGTATTGGGGCTCATACAGCTCTTATCACAATCCATACATTCATCCATTGTATCAAGCATATTTGTAACCTGTTACCATCATCATTTTCAAAGCATTTTCTTTTTACTTGAGCCCTTGACATCAGCACCTCATTTTCCTCCCACTATCCTCCCCTCCCTCATGAACCCTTGCTAAATAATAAATTATTATCTTCACATCTTACATCTTCCGCTGTCTCCATTCACTCACTTTTCTGCTGTTCGTCACCCGGGGAGGGGGTTATACTCGATCCTTGTGATCAATTTCCGATAGCATCTTTCCAGAGGCCGGCGTCGATCTGGTTCCGCAGCGCGAGGACGCACTTTGGTTCCTGGTCCCGCTGAACCCGCGGGAACGGCGAGGTTGCGCTTCGCTGCGGATCCGTGGTGGGATCGTTGGCTGTGGGGCCAGGGGCGGGGGTGGTAAACTTTAAGACCGCGTGTAGGACGGCCTACGGTGTCCCAGCGTCACCCCGGGCGTCCCTCGGCGGGCTGGGAGCCTGCAAGTTGCGGGTGAAAGCGCGAAGCCGCGCCCCCGTTAGCCTAGCGGACTCGGAGACCCCGCCCACCCTCCGAGCTCGGCCAATCAGCAGGGCCGGGTGGAGCGGCGGGGCGGGCCGGACGCCGAGGAGGAGGAGCCTGGCGGGGCGAGCGGGTGGAGCGCAGCTCCGGGAGCCAGGCTGGCGCGGCTGTGGCCAGGCGGCGGTGGCGGGCGGCATGGGCGATGGGGGCGCCGAGCGCGACCGCGGTCCAGCTCGTCAGGCCGAGCCCGGAGGCGGCAGCGGGCCCCGCAGCGGATCCGAGGACTCGCACAGTGGTGGCGGCGCCCACAGCCCGAGGGAGGTCGCTGGCACCTCGGCCTCCAGCCCCGCTGGCTCCCGAGAGAGCGGCGCCCACAGCGACAGGCCGCCGGGGCCGGGGGAGGCGGACCACTGTCGCCGCATCCTGGTACGAGGTGAGCGACAGCCGGCGGCCAGGGCCCTCGGGACCCCACCAAGTCTCAGGCCCCCCACCTCCCCGCCGCTGCACCGCCCCATCCCGGTAATCCCTCGTTCAGCTTTCCCTCCGATCGCCTATTGTGTGTTGGACGCCGAGCCGAGGTCAGGGGACAAAGCGGTGGAGGGCCCCGCCAGCTCGCCCCACGGTCACCAGCCTCTCTGGCCGCGCCGGGGTGCTGGGCGCGGGATGCTGGGGGTGGGCGCCGCCAGGGCACAACAAGGGGAGCGGCTGCGCTCTGCGGGTGCGGAGCGGGCGTGCGACATGCGCGGGGAGCAGGCCAGGCTCCGCGCCTCCTGGGGCCCGGCTTCCCCTTCTCACGGTGGCACTCGCGCCCGCTCCTCGCAGGAGAGGCCAGGGGCACCCGGAGGCTGGCGAGCGCGGCGCCCGTTGGTCTGCATCGCCTTCTCGGCGTCGCTTCCTTGCAGCGGCGCGGCCTCGCCCGGGCCCGGCCTTTAGGGTCCCCACGCCTCTCGCCCGCGCGCCCTTCTCCCTTCGCCGAACTCGCTTCCGCAACCCCAGCTTCCCGCGATCCCCCACTGGGTCGGCCTCGCCGCGCCGAAGCGCCGGGGTCCCAACCCCGCTGGCCTCCGCCGGATCTCGGCCGGGCGGGACAGATCGAGAGAGGAAGAGAACACAGGGAGTCCGGGGCCGGGGTCCTCCGCCTTCTGAAGCTCCGGGACCGCGAGAGCCAGCTCGCAGACGACATCGCTTGTGGGCAACAGCTCGCCCGGCCTGTCCCTGACTCTCCCACCCGAGCCAAGCCCGCCGCCCCCTGCCAGCCTCCTCCCCGCCCCAAACCTCGCTCAGGAGGGGTCCGGGCCAGCGCTGATGGCCTGGGCCTGGAGACGCTGGGAAGCCTCTCTGGAGCGGCCTCAGGGGTCTCTACGGCGCGGGGCTCTTGCATTTGTCGGATCTGAACTCGGCTACTACTCAGACGCCCATTGGGGTCCCAAAGCCAGGCTGGGTTTTGCCTTCCTCACCCACGCCCATCCTGGCAGCCTCTAGGTGGGAGCCGCTAGGGAATGGGAGACAGGACTGGATCAAGTATGCGGGCAGCCCAACCTGGGGCGAGAGAAGCCACTGATGGCTGTTGTAGACAGAGGTGCAGAGACGCGGGAGCCTTGGGAGAAACTCCCGGGCAAGTGTGGCTACTCCTAGATGAGACCCTACAGTTGCTCTAGGGGCAGGCTTGGGTCAAGGCAGTTGCAGGGTGGGGGCGGGGGTCAACCAGATTCCAGAAACTGTGTGGGCCTCTCAGGCACTTGGGATTAAACTAGACTCCAACCACAGACCGAGTGTCCTGTGAACAAGGTAGAAGCAGTCAGCTTCATCAAGGACATGGGCAGAGCTTCCAGAGATGGAGAGGGCAAGTCCTGAAGCCCACAGGCCCCCTGGGGAGGCTGTCCGTTCTCTGCCTCACCACCTCGCACCCCTGTGCATGGTGGACATTCCTTTTGCTCAGAATATTGGAGTCTGTGCGCACCTACATTCCCCTCCTCTCTTCAAACCCTGGGAGTGAAACAATGCATTGTGAGTAGATGTCAATTACATAGCATGGACTCATGGAAGATGGGCGTCAAAAGAGAACCTCCACCCCTCCACCCGTGGGGGTCATGCAAGGCCGGGCAGTGGACACGCTGGGGCAGATGTGCCTGTGCTGCTCGTTAGACGGTGCCTTTTTTTTTTTTAACCGATGTAGCTAAACAGCACAGCGCTGCCATTTCTTTCCTGTAATAAAATAAAAGACTTACAGATAAGGCATGGAAAGAGGATTCACACATGCAACGGAGAAGAAAGGCAAAGGGGCCCGCCTAAATCCCTCCGCCTTTTGTCATTGAGTTGCCTGGGAAGTCCTTTACGCTAATCCCTGCTAGCCTGGGTCACCTGCGTCCCTCGCCGGCTCCCCAGGGCTCTGGGCGGAGCCTCCGCCCTGAAGGAAATAGGCCCTGGGGAAGAGGGACCACATCACCACAGCCCAGAAGAGAGAGCCCTCTAGTAGGCCCAGAGCCCGGAGTATTTTTGCCCTTGACCTGCGAGGACACATCCACCTCCATCCTGTCGCCGGAAGGCCGTCGGCCGAGGGTAGAAGAGAGGCGTTTGTGGACGCAGCTGCCTGCTAGCCGGTGCGATGAGAACGCAAGATAGACCCCACTTCCTCCGGATCCGATGCCTTCCCACTCTGGGCCCCACCCTGGGAGAACAGATCTACCGGCGGAGTCTCAGGGCGGGAGGAGGAGAGAGAGAGCTAAAATCACTGAATTAGGTGAAGTTCCAATCCCAGTTTCTTTGTCTGCCTGTGTCCCCAAGTCCTCCTTTGGACAAGGGAGCCTAACCCCTAACCTTTGCCCCAAAAGGTTGTGCCGAGGACCAGAAGGCCTGTCTGTAAAACCACAAACATAAATGTTCCTTGAATGCTGAATGGCGGCGGTGGGGGCTGGAGAGGTAGCAGATGGGAAGAGGTGGCTCCTTGTAGCCTTGCAAGCCGCCGCTGACTGGTGGGGCAGGGGCCTGTCTCTCACCTCCCAGCGGCCTGCCTCCCACCTTCCCGTTCTCCTTCGGACCCTGGGCCTCCGTGCCCGGCTGGATCGGGAGGTGAGCCACCAGGTCAAGAACCAGCTGGGGGAGAAGATGGGCACCCCCCGCCGCTGGCCTCCAGCTTCTTGAAGGGGCTCTGACAAAGATGTAAGCTTCGGGCCGGCGACTTTCCCTGGAACATGGACCGATCTTGTTGCTTCTCCCGCGTCAAAATGGAGGCTGCTTCGCGCCACCCTCGGGCAAGCACACAGCCTCCGAAGCGAAGAGCACGGGCGCCCTCACAGCCCCTCTCCCACGGGGACACATCGAGGCCTCCACCGGACCGGGTCGACTTGCCCACACCTTCTCCTGCGGGGCCTACAGCCCGGGACCCGTGAGCTGAATCCCCCGGTGTTTGGTGCGGCAAGAGCGCGCCGGCTGCTCCCCAGGCCCGGCCTTTCCGGCGCACCCAGACCCCAGCCCCAGCGGCTCACAGACCTCGGTGGAGCCGGGATCCCAAAAGGCAGAGGAGGTGCGATCATTCTCACACCAGATTCCCTGCAGCCCCCAAACCCACGCTCTCACCCGCCGGCCCCGCCGTGCACCAGCACCTCCCAACCGCGCAACGTTTGTGGGCCCTACGGGGTACTCCTTCCTGCATACCAGAGGTGTCCTCACCCCGGCTCCCTCCTCCTGGAGGCTGTTCTGTGGGGTTTCAGGGTCGGGTTCAGGCCGCCCTCTGCTTGCCCATCCTAGTGAACCGCAGGCCGCCTGGGCGGATCCAAAGAGCGTTCTCAACGGCTGCTCTGCTGGCTGTCGGAGAGTGGGGGCACAGTATAACGTGGCCGCTGAGCTGCGGGGCTCGCTGTTCCCTCTGCATGAATTAGAAGGGCGAGACCTGGGACCTCCCGGCTCAGGTGGTAGGATATAGGTCTGCCAGCGGGTCTGCAGCTCCTTCTCACTCTCCAGCTGCAAAAACACCCAGCACGGGGGCCCTTGCACCCACAAACGCATCCGGCCACTCGAGGCTAAGGGACTGGAGTTTGGGGGGCTTGGTCGGGAACTGCCTGTGGGGACAGTCTCCTGCTCCTACCCCAAGCAGCAGGTCCGGGCACCGCCCTGACCGTCACCCGCTTCCTTTCTCTGAGTTTCCAGTGGACAATGGACTCAGGGGCCAGGGCATGGCTCAGGTCGCGTCCCTGCAGCCTCACTACCAGGGCTCGGGCCTAGGGTGGCGTTGGAATGAGCTTGGGATTGCCAGTGGGCTGGGCCCACCCGGGTGCCTTTATCCTTAATTTCTGAGTGTTACTGGACACCATCGCTCAGGACCAAACCTCGAAGCCTCGGAGCTGGAGGGTTGAAATGGTCTGCAAGTGACACTTTTTTTTTAATTCATCATTTTTCTTGGGAGCTCTTACAGATGTCATAACATTCCATGACACTTCTTTAAGGGACTGATTTTTTTGGAAGGGACATAAATTATCGGGGTATTACAGCTCCTTTCTATCTTCCTGGAATTGACTTGCCTGCTGAATTTCCTTTTGCGTTTTTGTTTTGTTTGGGCAGGAGGACAACATAAATTTCATGACTCAATTTATCTCCAAAGGTCCATGCAGAGCTTTTCATGTGGGATTTCTCTCCCTCTCCTTATGACTGACCTGTATGTGGGGGCTGCATGGACCGCAGCTCTCTGCACACTCTCCAGCGGGGAGACTCCTCCGTGGCTCAGAGGTGACCCTGCAGCCTGGGAGGTGGAGGTCCTGACAGTGAGTGAACCCCTGAGATTGCGGGGAGAGGAGAAAAAGAGGCTGCAGCAACCTTGAATTCCCACCTCGGTGGAGAGAGGCGTGAGACCCCATTTCCACAGTTAGAGCCTGAGCCCAAGCGCCCTGTTTCTATTCTACCTTGCCGGAAAATAGGCATACAATTGTCCCCTCTTACTTCCCCGGTGCTTAATACAAAATGATCACTTCCTAGGAGGCTGGCAGCCTGTCATATTGCTGGGCCACCAGCGGTGGGGGATTCCATCTCTGTGGAGGACAGTGAAATCCCCTGGACCCAGGTGGTCTAAGCTCCTGGCTCAAACGCTTCCACCCCAGTCCAGATGAGCCCCCTAGAGATTCGGTTTGGATCCGGGAGGTCTTGGCTTCCTACCACCTGCAGACCCTGGAGTGTAGCCAAGCAATTCAGAGGCGCCAGGCAGGGATCTGCCAGGCGAAAGAGAGGGTGGAGGGCCAGGGAGAGTCAGCGCTGGGCCTGGATAGGGCTGGAAGGTCCTGGGATCCCCAGCGTCCGGGAGCCTTTTGAATTTCTCTCTCCAAACACCCTTCACTGCCGGGCAGCTAGGGAGTCCTCATTCCACCAAGCAAACAACAGTGGCGCTACTTGCGCAGAGCTTCCGGGACCCTGCTGACCACAAGGCCTGGAGCTCAGAGATCGCCC